ATTTTCCAAAGTTTGCTTTGACCCTTCCAGGGTATGACTGACTGCGAACACTATTTCTTCAATACCTATGTCTATCAATCTCCGTAACTGATCAGCCCGTCCATACTTCGGTGTAGCTCGGAGTTGATCAGCCCATATATAATTCGGTGTAGTAAGAAGTTGTTTCTCCATATGTCGCTTCAATGTTAACCAGTGACGAATAATGGAGAACACAGACATATCCGTTGCTGATTCACCAGCCGATGGTGCGGCATTTTTAAGCAACTGAAATGTTGTGCACATCGCCGTCGCGATTTCTTGTGATGCCATTGTACTACGAATAACTTGCTGCACCACCCGATGTAACCTCATGCATCCAACTGACTTCCTCTGAAAAAGAGAAAACTTAGTCAAGACCTCCACTATATAGTTATTCACAAGAGGGAGTTCCTTTTTCTCATCATCTGTTGCGTCAGGAGAAAGCAGCTCAGCGTTAATAAGTCTTTCATGTATTTCATCTGGATCCAGGAAAGCAGCTGCATGGACAAACCTGGAGGCAATTTCTCCATATCTTGACTTCTTAACGTAATCGAAGTTGAGGAGCCATGTAGTGTGAACTGAAAGACGACTTCGGGACTCGTATTCCCAAGAGGGATTTGCATGATGCTCGCTCAATAGCTGTAAGCGTTCAAGTTTGTATTGCTCCAGATATTTATTTACAGGACACTGAAGGGATCTGATATGTGCACCAGCCTGTTCTAAAGCGAGAGGAAGACAACCAAGCTCAACAACCAGCTCATTGAGCGTATCATCCTGGTCTGCAGCATTTTCATCGCCGAAACGACTTCGAAGAAACTCTTTTGCTTCATCGATAGAAAAAGAGAAGACATCTACACAGCAATGTGGCTCAAGATGTACACATTCACAAATTTCTTTCCTTTCACGTCGGGTTGTAATTAAAAGGTGGCCGTTTGATGACCGCCTCCATCTTCCTAACAAAACCCTCTGCATGTTATCAGAAAGGGGTGCTTGGTCGACGTTGTCGAGAACCATAAGCCACCGTTTCACTCGCTTAGATATGAAAGTAAGAATCCGAGTCAGCGTCAAATCTAACGAGTTTTGCATCATTCCCAGACTTAACGCTAGATCATTTACACAACTGTCAAACTTCTTTCCATCTTCCATGGAGAACCAAAATACGCCTCCCTCGTATTCTGATTTATGCTTCCAAGCGAATTGGGTAGCTAAGGTCGTTTTTCCAGATCCGCCAAGGCCACAAATGGCCGCCATTCTAAATTTCTGGTGACTGTTTTCTAAAGCGAGGCATGTTTCAAGCGATTCTAGCTCTTTTTGTCTTCCTGTAAACCACTTGTTTGGATCTGGTGCATCAAATATTACAGATTTATAATCTGCCGTGGAAACACTGAATTGCTCTGAAAGCAGAGTTTCCCAAATGTTCGGCGGCCTGTATTCCAACTCTTTATCCATCAGTTGTTCTTCATCCTTGCTTTTAATGGCTTCACTTAATGTCGCCAGAACTTTGCCAAACTCAGACTCGAGCATTGCACGTAACTGGTTTATATTGTCGTTCGTTTTCTCCAGCCAATCGGGCAATGTTCCAGCGACCGCTACAACTTCATCGCGTATGACTTTCAGGAAAGTGTCATCGACTTGCTTACCAATACAGAGGTCTAATCCTACTCACAAAAAAGGACCAAACAAGCAATTAGTGAGCTAGTAATAGACCAGTAATCTTCTACGTGAGCTTAAGACTAACGTCATTTTCCATTAAACGAAACTGACCGAGGAGACTAGTTCAATGGAAAATTGAATAATCCTCACTGAGAAGAGGGTTTACCCAAATTGCGGCACTAATGAGTGGATTGTAGGAATCGAGTGATTTAGCCAGACAGCCTTGATTCACCATGGGCTGACTCACCTAATCAATTCCCTTTGCTGGCGAGCAAAAGTTTACCACAGGCAGACAATCATATGGGTTTGAGGCCGTGTAACGTTATTGACCTCTTAGGTTCGCTGGAATTTACAACGGACAGATTCCCTTCACCAACGACAAAATAATCACGCGACCCTCCTCCCCTCAGCGTGAAAATTGTTTCTCAAAAGTTTGGTTTCGGGCCGCCTTTTCAACGACACACATGTACACCGGTGAGGGAGAGGGTCGGGTGATGGTTTTGTCGCCAGCCTGGAAATATGAGCTCGATTAATTGATTTATTTTGATACCAGAGGTGTTAATTGACCTCTTATTTCCACATCTTGTATCGATGGCAAAACTGTTAACGAAGCAGGAAAATAGAGTAGGCTTTTGAGGCGTTTGGAGAAGTGTAGATGTACTGATTTGTGGCATGGATATTGGACAACAATCGACCTTAAACATTCTTGAAATTAGGTGGAGAGCGATATTTGAAAGTGAAAGAGGTTTGGCGAAGTTCTTGAGCTTTTTCAGCCTTGAGTGGTCTTGGAAGATGC